CTTAACAGGCCAACGAGGCAGTCTATATGCTTTCATATTTTGTATTGTAGCAATAATAAAAGTAATTCCATTGCAGCTACATTTCACACTGCGTTTGACTTCATGGAAGAATTTGAGGATACTGATGATGAATCAAGTAAAAATTATTATATTACTTTGCTTTACCTATGTAAATACACAGTTACACGTCAAGCTATTAAACCAGTATATCATGGTCTCACTTTGCATTATCTTTCAAGACATTCAAAAGTCAGTTTATATTGGTTTTTATATCTTGGTGTGAGCTGCTGTTCTACGGGGAGAGGAACTCTTAGCAGGTTCTCCTAAATTTCTAACATGCTTTAGTTGAATTTATGCAATCACTCTCTCACCATCGCCACACATGCCATGGATTATGGCTAAATAGCAATTTATAAATATTTAAGCAACTTAAAGATAGATGAAGAACATTGTTCAAAACCTGTTCTGGCTAACTAGAGACGAAGATGTTTTACATTATTCAGAAAACATTTGATTTCCTTTATATAGAAATAAAAAAAATAATTTTATATCTTAATAAGGTTACTAATACTATAGGTATTATAAAGCTTGTTTCTTTGTAAATGAAAATTAATCGTGTAGTATAGTCCATTCATTCGAGGAAGGCTATATTATATAGGTAAGCTGTAGATCATCATACTACGATCAATAGGCGCCAGTAGGTAGTAGTTTTATAAAATGTTTCATTAAAAGTTTCTGTTTCAGATGATGAATGCGAACAACTTAAATATGATGATGATGAAACTGAAGATAATATCAGTATTGAAAAAGAAGAGATAGAAAACAGCCAAAAAGCAACAAGAAAACGCGGACGGCGTGAAGAAAATGATGAGCAATCATCAAAGGAAAACAACAAGCCAAAAGTTAGACGCTTGTCAAATAAGCTGAACAAAACAATTGAAGAAATGGATGAACAAAATATATTAATAGTTTCTAATAACCAAAATCCGCTAAAAATGACTTTATCTTTGACAAAAAATAGCAAAAATAAAAATTCAAAAACTTGTCATAATGAGTTGACTAGGAAAGAAAATCCCCGTGAATTGCTTACACCAAGTGATACAGCCACATCGGAGGAAAATGCTAATGCTGCAGAAGATGGTAACACTGAACTTCACCAACATTCGAAGTTGTCAGAAAAAGTATCTAGAGGTAAGGAATCTGTAGAAACAGCTGAGGAAGTTGCACAGGCCGAGACTGAAACCGCCAACAAGGATTCAAGCGTTGAACAAATTTTAAATATTAAAAATGGTAAGCAAAACTACAATGTGAATGATATTAAGCATGTCTACAACACAATTATGGAAAGTAAAATAAAATTGAAAAATGTTTATAATGAAATAAGAACAAATTTGAGAAATGCATTTACATCTGTTGGTTTGGAGGTGCCAGAATTTTGTGACCATTTAATAAAACCTATGTTAAATACCAATTAAGGGTAATGTATGTTAAAATAATCTCATTGTGTGTGGTGTTTATAATTTGTTTTTATACACACCCACATTATAGGAGAATCAGTAAGAGTCTGACACTCCCTCTTGCCTCATCCAAGGGGGGACGAGTCATCGGATGACTTTATTCCCTTAGAAAAAAATCACAGTAGAATATTCTAGCATAGGGCAATGTTTAAAAGTTAAGTAAAGTTATTTCTAGTTTTCACCTTAATATCTAATATACTTAACTATAATGTAGATGTAACAAAACATCTATATTTTTTTTACCAAAGTAATTGATCTTGATAAATTTTTTTTATTATTAATTATTAGGGTTCTACATAAAATATCTGATCTGCTGGTTTTTCAAAAGCTGATTAATTTTGCTAGTCAATTACCCTTTAAAATCGAGTAACGAAACCATAGCGCGATCTAAAACGATCCCAACGCCATCTATCGAGCAAGCGGTAAAACTTTTTAACAAAACATTAATTCGATTTCTAATTTACACATTGGTCACAAACAATTATTTTTATTACTTTTTTTAATACTATTTGACATAGTAGTTTAAAAAAAATGTACACGGGTGTTTTTAGCTTGTAATTAATTAATTATTAATGTTTAAGATGTTTTAATTGTTTCTTGTATTTTATTCGTATAATATTGTGCAATAAGAAAATAAACGTTTTCTTTCATAATATTTTAATATTAAATTAGCTTAGGTATAGTATAGGTAGAAATAAACACAATATTGTGAACATAGTTGCATTCATTGTGTACAATTTGGAATCTCTCTCGATTGTAATGAATATGTTTTTATGAAACTTAATTGTATGCATTTACTTTTCAAGTCATATTATTGTTGTGTTATAAATATTACAAATAAATGTTAATTTGTACTTATTTCGATTTTGTTTATTTATTAACCTCAATCATAATTGATTGAAATATGGTCAAGGAGAGGGGCAGGTGGAATTATATTCCTCTTAGCCTAAGATTCCGCCGAGAATCATTTATTTATTAGGCACCCATGTGTATCAATTATTGACATATTAAATTGAATAATTCTAAGTGTGGGAGAGCCATGGAGTGATACCACGCCCTCACAGAAAACCGACGTGAAACAACTCTTGCACTGTGTTTCGTCGTGTGAGTTAGATTACCGGAGGCCCAATTACCCCCGTCCCTAGTCTCCCGAATCCCCGAATCCTCCACAATCCTTAAATTCCCAAAAGGCCGGTAACGCACTTGTAACGCCTTGGTGTTTCGGGTGTTCATGGGAGGCGCCGATTGCTTACCATCAGGTGATCCGTCTGCTCGTTTACCGGCTTATGTTATAAAAAAGAAAATAAAATATGTTTCATCAAAGCATCTCGGTGGAGGTCATTTAAACCGGGATCAATGCTATCTTGTTCATTTTAAGATCCATAATTTGTCATTTGAATGCCTCGTTGGCCGAGTTTGCAAGTGCGACTGCCGGGCAAGAGTCGCGCTCGAGGGGGGGATATTGCCAACGGCCGCTCGTGACTGCTCGAACATTCTCGGGACTTCCCGCAACTTCTCACGCAGTCGCGCGGCTCCGTTTATGGAATTCCCCGGAATTCCTGCGGCGCCGCGGACATCCGCGCGATTCGTTCGCGTTTCTCATGCGATAATAAATATTATGGTAATAACAATAAAGTTAAAATTCATATGAAACTGAAACTGCGTTCCGCTTCGCTGCCCTTCGCCGCTCTTTCGGTGTGAGTTGACCCTTACTGGGTATTTATAAAAAAATCTTAGTAGTAGCACGGAGTTTGTAATTGTGCCCGGTATATGGCAGTAGGCTCACCCCCTATTACATGGGACTCATAACGTAAATAGTGAAAAGTGGGTGTTACATAGTACAGTGGCATTTAGTGCCATAATGTGCACCTCTGCCTACCCCTTCGGGGATAAAAAGGCGTGATCTTATGTTATGTATAATTGTCATTATGTGTACACAGGCACAGCAACCGACTATTATATATATTAGTATTTTATGGTAGCCCTCCCGGCAATGTTGGCGGTTGGCGCGATCGCTGGGCAACCGGCTGCCGCGCTACGTGTAGCGGGTTCAATGCCTGCACGAAGCAGTTCTTTGTGTATTCCACAAATTGTTGTTTCGGGTCTGGGTGACATGTTTGTGAACTTGATTGTTTCTTAAAGCACCTACGAAACAGGAGAATATTTCTTGATATACTGGCAAGAACGCTCTCCTTATTTTTCTATTGCTAATGTTACATTCGCAAGAATACTCATTACAAGTAACTTCTAGAGTACCTACTAGGAGTAATAGCACGACGAAACCATAACATGTGCCTACCCTAATTTAACCCTGTTGTGACGTCACGCTTTTATCTTACATCCTATTTAAAAATCTTGGCATCTATTCAACTACTATAGATGCATCGAAACCGATATGGCTCATAAAATATTGCAAAATATATTCCAGAGCAAAATTGAGCCATTTATGGCCACTTAGATGTTATCGCTGAGCATAGAATTCCTTATAGTGTGTTCTTTCAACGGTTAAATGATGATATAAAAATAGAGACATGTTTTATGGAGGATTATATGAGGTTTGTATTGTAACTTTCGTGAGACATACTAAATCAATTATTATGATTTCGGCTTACTACTTATACTGAATGTAAATTTAACTCACGACAATTACAATGTGCAAGAAGTAACTGATGCGAAATTTCTTGGTTTAACGATTGATAGCAAATTAAATTGGAAAGAGCACATAACCGCATTAAGTAAAAAAAATAGTAACACCCACTTTTCACTATTTACGTTATGAGTCCCATGTAATAGGGGGTGAGCCTGTTGCCATATACCGGGCACAATTCCAGATTCCGTGCTACTACTGAGATTTTTTAAAAACCCAGTAATACTTTGCCCGACCCGGGAATCGAATCCGAGACCCTTTGCCCGACAGTCGCACTTGCGACCGCTCGGCCAACGAGGCATTCATATGACAAATTATGGATCTTAAAATGAACAAGATAGCCTTGATCCCGGTTTAAATGACCTTCACCGAGATGCTTTGATGAAACATATTTTATATTCTTTTTTTATAACATAAGCCGGTAAACGAGCAGACGGATCACCTGATGGTAAGCAATCGGCGCCTCCCATGAACACCCGAAACACCAAGGCGTTACAAGTGCGTTATCGGCCTTTTAGGAATTGTAAATTTGAGGTTTGTGGAGGATTCGGGGATTCGGGAGACTAGGGACGGGGGTAATTTAGCCTCCGGTAACCTAACTCTGCCAATGAGGCAGTCGTATCTATATAAATAAAAATCAATTCCCGTTCGTTAGTCTCGCTAAAACTCGAGAACGGCTGAACCGATTTAGGTAATTTTGGTCTTGAAATGTTCGTGGAAGTCCAGGGAAGGTTTAAAAGGTGGAAAAACATTAATAAGCGGTACGAAGTTTGCCGGGCCAGCTAGTAATAAATAATTATTTTGAATACAAATTTACTGAATATAATTTATAAATGTTGATGGAATGCATCGCAGGCGGGGACCAACAGAGGCTTATTTATAGTCATTTCGGTTGTGCACCATTTAGCAGAATTTTCGTTGGTGGCGGTCAAGGTGGTCCCCGCCTGCGATGCTTTCCATCAACATTTATAAATTATATTCAGTAAATTTGTATTCAAAATAAGTTTCTGTTTATTTAACTATCGATTACGAACACATATTGTAGTGTATTTTAATATAGGTATTGTTTAAACGGTATTACATAATTAGTTTTTAGCATTTGATTGATCAATATTATTGTGGGGCTTGTTTTACTCTTTTTTTAGTGTGCAGTCGGGTATTTTGTTTTTTTAATAATAATTTTTTTATTTATAACTTTTTAGCTGTTTTTATTTCGATATATACAAATAGGGATATATCGAATAAAATCGCTATTTAGAGACGACCGTCAACGACGTGTGCCCTCATGCGTGTGCCCGCAATCGGGCTGTATACTCGAGCATATCCCCCTCCGCACCGCGCCGCGCGCCGCATGCCAGGCCACGCCCTATCTTTTTGCTTGCTAACGCATGAGTTGCTTTGCGTTGACGCAGAATTAACATGTTCCCGTGGGAATTTTGAGAAAAAACGTATCCTATATTAATTACTCCCGTGATTGAAATGAATCTAATGATACCGCATACATATTTTTTTAAAGGGAAATTTAGAAAAAATATTATTATGTCTTTATCCCGTGGGACTTTTAGGATAAAATGTATCCTATGACACTCCCGTAATCAAGACAAATCTAACGATACCTCATACATCAAAATCCATCAAGCCGTTTAGGCTACAGGTGGTCACAAAGGAAAAGACATACATACATACTTACATACACTCGAAAAACATTACCCTCCTTCTTTGGCAGTCGGGTAAAAATAAAGAAGCGTTTCATATATTTTACTAATAACAAAACCTAGTTACACGTATAACAAAAAAAAACCGTTATCCAAAACCTGAACATAAAATATATCTAGTATCCGCACAACAATTAGTAGTTAGTGAACTATCCTAACAAAGTTCCGCTAAATTTCTGTCAAAGCGTGGAAAATACAAAATACGGACGAGAGTTAAAAGTTGATAAAACTCCCCTTTATTATTCGAACCGGTAGCCTTTGTGTACAAACGCATAATTTTATACACAATCAAGTAGGTTGAGATTGTTTTCTAATTACCTACACTTTATACTTGTGTTTTTCTATCCAGAAAGCATAATGTTTTATGGGATACCGGCTAACGAGCAGACGGATCACCTGATGGTAAGCAATCGGCGCCTCCATGCCCACTCGCAAGGCTAGAAGAGTAACAAGTAGGTTTTTGGCGATTATAGGGAATTATTTTTTTATAGAATAAACCGGTAAACAGGCAGACGGATAACCCGATGGTAAGCAATCAGTGCCGCCCATGAACACCCGAACACCAGAAGTTTTACAATGTATACCGGCCTTTTCGGACGGTGAGCATGGGTGGCTCCACGTCCGACCAAAAACAGACCCGAGCCTACGACACGTCGCGTTCCGCGCGCGCCTCAAAGAGCCATCAGACCACCACAGATGGGGCCCAATAGGGCCGATACCGATTCGGAGTCGCAGAGAACCTGACGGGTAACCGGAGCTCCGGCTCGACGTGCAGGAGAAGAAGGAACGGGGTGGTTTCTAGTCAGTAAGAATCTGACACTCCCTCCCGCCTCACCCTGGTGGTGGTGTAGCAGTCATTAGATGATTTTCCCCCCTTAAAAAAATAATTAAAAAAAATACCGGCCTTTTGGGGATTAGGAATTTAACTCGTCGAGTACCGTTACTATAGACACAATTATAGAACAATAGGTTGCGGTCACCGGTGACCGCTTGGTGTTTGACAGTTTAAGGACTGTTGGGGATTCGTTGATTGGGAGGAGGTAATTGGGCCTCCGATAAACCCAGTCACACGACGAAACTCAACACAAGTGTTGTTTCACGTCGATTTCCTGAGAAACCTCTGGTAGGTAATCTGAGTCACACGCTGATTTTCTGTCAAGCTAGCCCATTCGTGCTGAAGCATGGCTC